GAAGAAACAGCTGCCACTGTGGCTCGACGTAACTAAAATCTTACTGTTCCTGTTCTGTGAGGTGGTGCGGGGGTCGGGGAACCTCTTTCTCCAGAAGGGCCTATCCAGAAAGTTGACACCAATATTAATTTTAAATTTATAATTTACTTAATCTTAGTCATCTAAATATATACGGTAAAAGGCTAATATGCTAAGTGTCCAACTGTCCGGGGAATGACATCACATAGCAATGCCTGGCTTTCTCTCCCTAGCGACTAGCCTCCTTGGAGTTTCTTCAACCCGGGAACATGACTTGCTTCATAGCCAGGTAGAAACATTTAACATTGTAACCAAATGTCTGTGAAGCGTTTTCACCTGCCTCATCTCATTTGATCCTCACAGAAGTCTTGCAGTAGGTAGATAGAAGACTCGGTGGAATCCTATTTTCTTTTCATTAGCCGGAAGATGGAGATTTAGAAAGCTTAGAAATTTGACCTGACTGAAAAGAAGCAAGAAATGGTGGACCTTAAAAATGACTTCAGGTTTTCTCACTGCGAAGATTATAGTCAAACACTGCTGCAGTTAAATATTTTACCTTTTGTTCTCCCTGTGTGATCTACAATAATAATCTGCTTCGTGTTGATATTTACTGCTGTGTTGCTGACAATTACCTGAAAGAGAAGTTGGGGTGCTTCACTAGACTGGAAAAGGTTTGGCTATATCAGAAAGCAGGTCTAATTAAGCAAGTTTATTCTATATCTATAAAAGGCTAAGTTGACTCGCACATGCGCAATATAAAGCTCTCACTGGCACCAATAGTATGCATGTGTTTCCATCTGTCATTGTCGATCGTGAATTTGGTTGACATTTCTATTATAGAGAAAGGGTGAATATCGATATTAAAATATTCTACTTAATTTCCTTTCAATGTGCACGAGGTGAATAGCGATATTAAAATATTCTACTTAATTTCCTTTCAATGTGCACGAATTCCTGCACTCGACCAATAGTATATCTATAAGAGTACATTATAGTTGCAGAAGAGGAAGAGAAGAATGTCAGGGAAGTTTTCTCAGGAGTGTTCCACCTGCTGGCTTGGTCCCTGTGCACATGCAGGCACATCATCACACGCTCCCTCTGCCTGCTCACCTTTTGGTCCAGCTGTCCTAGCTTTCTGCTGCAGAACCAAAGCTGATGGGCAAGACCAACAACCAAAAAGAGGAAGCTGAGCCCAGAGCCAGGGCCAGGACACAGCCACTGCTGCTGGGTTGGAAATACTGGAAGCCGTCCTTGGGCCATTTGGAAATGTTAATTAGGCTGGCCAGTTCCCACTGATCTTGGTTGCCAGTGTTGAGTTGAGTGTGTAGGCTTACCCCATCCCTGGCTGCACCTGTTCCCTTCCTCAGAGCCATTCCAAGGGGTCTGAATACCCCGGCAGCTCTCTGATCTCCGCTCTGTCTGCCTTCCCGCTGGGAGGATGTTTAGCACTCGCCGAAAGCTGGAACCCTGGTCCACTGTTTCCCTCATCCATGCCAGCTCTCAAAACCATTCCCTTCCCTAATTATCTTGAACCAGTTAATCATTTTCCACACTGACTGTTCAGTAACAAGAACCCAGAGCGAGGCAGCCACTTTCCCTGTCCGACCCTGCCCAGCTCATCCCAGGTGGCAGTCCTGGATGGCAGCCTTTCCTGAAAGATAAGAGCTCAGTTCAAATCCTTGCTCTTTGCTACCCCAGTGAGTACAGCCAGAGAAAACATGCCAGAGAGGCCCTGCAGCTCCTGAAAAGCCTCCACGAGGCAGAGCTATGTGGAACACAGAAAATCTCCACCCAAGATGATTGTTTCCTGTGTTCCTTTCAATCCTTGTTGATATCCAGAGTATCAGAGAAGTCCCACGAGCCCACAGAAGTAAGGCATCTTTCTCTAAGAATGATGTCCGATTCTCTGGGCTCCGCTCTGAGTCTGAGCCCGAGTGGCCCGCTGGCGTCTGAGTGACATTTGAAGGGCTCTTCCTAGAGGGCTCTCGCTCAGCTGCTCTGAGATGTGAGCAGGGCCAGCTCCTGATTCCCAGCACCACTAACCTGGAAGTAGTATGCTAAGCGGAATAAGCCAGTCAGAGAAAGACAGGTATCACATGATCTCACTCATGTGGAATCTAATGAACAAAACAGATCCAGAGACACAGAAGCATGGAACAGACTGTCAAATCTCAGAGGCAAGCTGGGGATGGGTGTGTGGGAGGGAAGAGATCAACCAAAGAACTTGTATGCACATATATGCATAACCTAAGGACACAATAGTGTGGTGAAGGCCTGACGTGGGGGGCAGGGGCAGGCCTGATGGGGTCGATGGGGAATAAAAGGGGACATATGTAATACTTTCAACAATAAATTTTCAACAATAAATATTTTTTTAATTAAAAAATAAAATTAAAAAAAAGAAAAACCTTGCAAGACACATATTAGCCCTGGCTGGTGGTTCAGTGGTTAGAGCATCGGCCCTCAGACCAAAGGGTTGCGGGTTTAACTCCTGGTCAAGGGCATTTACCTGGGTTGTGAGTTTGATCCCAGCCCTGGTCAGGGCGCTTGCAGAAAGCAACCAATCGAGGTGTCCCTCTCACTTGAATGTTTCTCTCTCTCTACCTCTCTACCTCTCCCCTTCTCCCCCTCCCTCCCTTCTACTCTTGTAAAAATCAATGAAAAAAATCTCCTTGGGCGAGGATTAACAATAACAATAACAAAAGGCACATATTAACCCTGTAATCCAGTGTCTCTCAACCTTGTCTCTCATTGCCCCACGTGGAGGCTTCTGCGGTGTGTTTATTTCCTAATTTGTCCCCTTCCCTGAAACACCACAGAAATACTGTGTGTCTGTTAATTGTACTTATTTCTGAGCTTTATGCACATAAGGAATAAGATACTTTTGCCCCCCCAGCGGTGACACCGCCCCGTTAGAACACATGCCATAGCTCCTCCACCACTGCCCCAGAGCCGGGACGTCCTCCGTTTCCTCCACGGCTGTAGCCCCGAGCCTGGAACAGCACCTGCGCATATGGGATATCCAGTGAATAAAGGCTGGAATGACTAGGCTTTGTGTCCCTCCCCCGCACCCCCAAGCATCACACGCCTATTCTCTTTCCGTCCCTCATCCCCAAGCACGGTGCTCTCTTCTGGTGCCTCCAGCCCTGCCCGGTCAGTGGGTACCTCGTGCTCACCCCGGGGATGTATCAGGAAGCTGACAGCCAACTCCTATGTTCCAAGTACAGGCCCCGCCCTTTGGCCACACTGCCTGTGTGTCAAGGGCAAGTGACATTTGAGCCCCATGGAATCATTAAGGCAGCCCCCAACTGTCTCTGTCTTTGCATCTCCTTAACTCACCCATGGATTGGCAGTTATTGAGACATTCTGTCTGGTCCAGCCACCACACCAGGCTGCATCTGGGGACACACTGGGGAGAAACGCAAACCCGTCCTCATCAGCAATTACAAACAAGCCTCCATTGTTCGCCGAGCCATCTGTTTTCTTGGTTTCTACCAATCGGGTGCCTCTACGCCCAGCACAACCAGGGTTGAGGGGGCTGCAGGGGAGAGAGACCGAGGAGCCCCTCCATGACCCCCTTGGCTCACACTGGAGAGGGTCCATGGCGTGGTGCCTTGAAAAGCTGAAGCTCCTCAACTCAAGGAAGGCACATGCAAAGTGGTTCTATGTTTGCGTCTCCCATGAGAGGAAATGGGGCCCACGGCACACACAGTTCATGGGGGGTGGCAGGGGGAATAGGAAACGTAAGTAATCACATTATCTAGAGCACCCACGGGAAACGTTGTAGTCTGTTACCAGCAATTAACACCTCGCAAGAACTTCGTATGCACCTAGAGCACAATCAGTGTGGTGAGCAGAGTTAACAGCGGTTGGAAATCAAGTAGGACAGAGAATGCTACCAGATCATCCATGACGGTTATTTATCCTGAAATTCCTAACCCCGAATGACTTCTTGGTGGGGCAATAAATTTTCATCGATAGATGAGAAAATACAGCTTCGAAAAGGTCCGAATTTCTTCAGAGAGCCCCGCTGGAAAGTCTGTCATGCCGAGGGCATTCTCAGTCTTAGAGACGGCCCTGGTCACTGTGCCAGCCTTGGCAGACAGCAGTCTGTGCCACTGATAAACGTCCTCTGTCTGGCTTTGATGGTGGCCCAGTGACACTGAACTCAGGAGCATTTGGGGGTCAGGGCGAGGAGCGATGGCTGGATGCATAAAGAGGCTGCGTTTGCTAAGGAAAACCCACGTGGGAAACAGGACGATGTGGTGATGGAGAAAACCTGTCAAAGTCCAGAAACTCCCAGGTTCTCTCCAGTTAGGCCTGGCTGCTGAGACCCCACTGCTCTGTGAGTGAGGGCGAACGTGGGATCCCACTCACCACCGACCGCCGAGTCCCCTTCCCCAGCCGCCCTCCGCACAGCACGCCTTGTGCTGCCTCCCTGGGGCTGTCACAGCACTGACGCTGGCTCTGAATGAACACACTGTGTCCCTCTCAGAAACGGAAAATGAGACCTGTGGACCTGTAAACACGCACACGTAGAGGGTATCCATCATTTCTGTAGGCCATCCATTTAATTTCAAATACTTGTCTTGCAGACTCTTATCTTTGACTCTGTTTTGCCTTGAAAACTCGTATCTTTGACTATAGTATAGAGCAAATCAGTCAGGAAATATTGGGCAGCAGGAAAAAGGGTAGAGTGGTGAGTGCTACCCAGTGTCTGTAGGGCTCCTGATAGCATCTGCTTCATACATCCTGGGACTGCTAATGTCGCCTTCCTTTTGCATGGATAAATGTGACAGCAGTTAGAACTCTGTTCTGCCAAGTCGAATTTTAAGCGACTTTTCAGTTCCTAATGATCTCTAAGGCTGTGACAACTCTCAGGCACCCAGGAATAAATGTATTATTAGCACTGTGTTCATTATCAAGTGGGGCTATGGATGTGCTGGGCTGTATTCATTTGATTTTATGTTCTTTCCCTTCAGATTAAAATACGTAAAGGTCTCGTTGCCATCTTTGAGCAAGGTAAGACTGACACTTCAGCGGATTTGCTCAACCTCCCTGCCCTTGGGGACGTGTGTGTAAATTCACTAACAGGCCTCCTTCCCTGGCTAACACCTCGAGGAAACGCGCCCTCCTGTTCCTTCTGTTCCCACCTCCCCTCCCAAGGGGCCCTGCCCTGGGTCCTGCCCCTGCATGTCTGTACTGCCCGGGGAACCCAGCCTCGCCTTTTCTCTGCTCCTGCACTCTGGGCGGAATCCGACACCAACACCTGCCATCCCGGAAAATGTCTTTGTTGCCCGCCCTATTGTGTGGGGATCCTGGGGAGCTGGTGGACCAGGGAACCGCCTCCTTTTTTGTTGCCAGAGCCGGGAGGAGCAAGATCTTGAGATGGGCCGATAAGACCAGGCACGCGTGCTGGGCCGGCCTTTGACTGCTTGCCTTAATAGGAGCCTCTGCATGGAAGGCCGTGGTCCAGGCGGCTGATGAATGGAACAGCTGGGGGAGGAAGAGCAGACAAAAGCTGGGGGAGCACAGAGGGTGGAGAACCAGGGGATCTTGAGGTTTATGACCCAGAGGGCAGGCCAGGCCTGGGGGCAGGTGTGCCCTCCTCTGTGGGCCTCTGCTTTCTGCCTCGGGTCTAGGGTCCAGGCCCTGCCTGTGCACACTGACAGTCAGCAGCCCCATCCAGGGGTCCAGTGCTGGCTGAACACTCTCTGGGGGGCCTGGGCCATGGGCGGACAGGTGGGAGGGAGACTAAATGATGAGGATGATGATAGCGACGACAGTAATGTGGGCAACATCAGTGAGCAAGCTGTCATTTATTTTTTATATATATATTATTTTATTGATTTCAGAGAAGAAAGGAAAGGGAGATAGAAATAGAAATATCAATGATGAGAGAGAATCATTGGTCAGCTGCCTCCTGCATACCCCTCACTGGGGATCAAGACCGAAACCCAGCCCTAACTGGTTTGGCTCAGTGGCTAGAGCGTCGGCCTGTGGACTGAAAGGTCCCAGGTTCAATTCCGGTCAAGGGCATGTACTTTGGTTGCAGGCACATCCCCAGTGGAGGTGTGCAGGCGGCAGCTGATCGATGTCTCTCTCTCATCGATGTTTCTAACTCTCTATCCCTTTCCCTTCCTTTCTGTAAAAAATCAATAAAATATAAAATTAAAAAAATGACCGAAACCCAGGCATGTGCTCTGACCAGGAATCAAACCGTGACCTCCTGGTTCATAGGTCGATGCTCAACCACTGAGCCACGCTGGCCAAGCCAAGCTGTCTTATTAACAGTATTGCCCACAGTGGGACGCATGGCACAGACTCCAATCACTGTCTCAGTAAATATGGAAGCTGGAAGTTCTGGTCCAGATTTCTTGTCACACCTGCGGGCCAGACAGCAGCACTGCCACAGCGAGCTGACCCTCCAGCCCAGCTGCCCTTCCCTCCCCGCAGGCAGGGCTTTGGCCCGGTCCAGGAACTGCTGAAATAAAGCTGGCTCACTCAGGGCAGGTTCCGGAGGCACCCAGAGCCACAACACTCGGGTGCTCACATCTGGCCGGGCAGAGCAGGGCAGTACAAAAGCCTGGGGGCTTCACGCAAAATTCTTGATTTGCTGGGACCAGCCTATCCATGCACGTCCTCCTGCTTCTGACACAGAAGCAGTGAGCGGGGCTCCAGTGCCTTTGAACCCCCAGCTTCCTGCAGGAGGGAAAGGCCACGTGCATGGCATTGTCTCCCCTGTGACCCACCTGGTCCTTCCACAGCTGCCACCACCCCCACCACCCCCATTAATCATGGGGTGCGGTGGGCACGGCTGGAGCCAGCGCAGGCTGAGGGTGTACCACAGAAAGGTGGGGACTGGAGAACGCAGGGGGCGCTGTGGTGCAGGCTCCGCCTGGGGAGTGGCCTGCCCTTTGCCCTGGGCGGTTGGGGCCACTTTGCCCAGAGCCCACGCAGGTCCTCCGAGCTGGCATCACTGCCCACCTGCTGCCTCCCTGGGTGGCTGTGGAGGGGTTCGATATTTCCCTTTCCTTAATGTCCTATCTTTGAATAGCTCTTTCTTTGATTCACTTGCTTTTTTTTTTCTCCCCTCTCCCAATTGATCTGATTACAATAGTGGGTGGGGTGGTTCCCTGTTGATCATGTGAAGTGTTAGGCAATTTGAATGTTAGGTAATTCAAAACAGAATGTTATCTGGGATTAAATCAGGTGTGTTTGCCTCCCTTCCCTACCCCCCTTACTCCCAGCCCCCGCCCCCTTTGAATGCTGGTACCACACCTTCGCCTTCGGCTACAAGGATTCAAAGAGATGCCTGTTACCAATGCCATCTCTGTCATAGATGACAGAGTAGCTGCATTGCCTTTGTCAAAAGCAGCCTGTTTTTAAAGATGAAAATAGGAGAGAGGCCCAGGATGTTTCCTGTCTGTGCCGACCTCACTGGGGGCAGAGAGAGGAGAGAGGCCTTGCGAGGGAGTCTTACAGCCCTGAGCCTCCCACACGAGGAGGGTTGTGTCCTCCGGCCCAAGCATGTCTGCAAGTACTGATTTCAGAGACTCTTCCTAGAAACAATAAGGTCAGAAAAGGAAAAAAGGTGCTGTCTGCGAGTAAGATAACTCACGTAAACTAATTTTAAATGCCAGCAATAATAAAAACTTCAAAGGCCAAAGCCCCGGAAATGAAGCATCTCAGGAAGAGTATAGAAACCCGCTTTTGAGGTTTGTTCCGGAAGCCTGGGTGAGATACAGCTGGGTTTAAAAATAGACCATGAGGAGGAGAAGGGTGATGAAATGATCCTCTCCCAGAACGGCCCCGGGAGACCAGGCTCCACCCGCAACAGTGGCCGAGTGTTGCAGCAGGCATTCCTGAATTCCTCCCGCTCCCGCCGAGCAGCCCCAGGAGGCAGCAGGCAGCCACGCAGGCTGTAACTCTATTCCTCCCCCTCAGTGCTCATCTGGATTCATTCAGACAAGTGACTTATTTATTTACTAGAGGCCCAGTGCACGAAATTCGTGCACGGGTAGGGTCCCTAGGCCTGGCTGGCAATCAGGGCTGATCTGTGGGGAGACCAGTGGATCGGGAGGCCCCCACTGGCACCTGACTTGGCCAGCCTGGCACCACCCGCTCACTGGCCCTGCCCCCCACCACTGCCGAAGGTTGCCTCCCACTGCGAGGCGACTGGTGGGGCGATCCGGTGGCTCCACACTGAAACATGCCTTGGCTGGCCTGAGGCCTGCAAGCTGGGGGCAGCTCCTGCATTGAGCGTCTGCCCCCTGGTGGTCAGTGCACGTCATAGTGACCGGTCATTACACCAGTCATTCAGCAGTTTGGTCAATTTGCATATTAGGCTTTTATTATATAGTATAGTTGTTAATCCTCACCCTAGGATATTTTCCCATTGATTTTGAGAGGGAGTAGAGGGAAGGGGAGGGAGAGAAACATCGATGTGTGAGAGAGACATCCATTGGTTGCCTCCATCACACACCCAACTAGGGCCCAGGATGGAGTCTGCAACAGGAATCAAACTCGGGACCCTTCAGTCCGTGGACTGACACTCTAGCCACTGAGCCAAACTGGCTAGGGCTCAGAGAAGCAATTCAGTCCTGGCCTCTGGTCTCAGACCCTTGGGGGTATAATCGAGTTGTAGCTCCTGTAAAATGAGAATATGTAAATACATGTGAGTGATAACACTGACCAGGAGCCACAAACTGCCGGGAGCCGTACTCGCTTCCTCATTGACTGGACAGTGCTGCTTCCTCGGCTCCTCCCTTTACTGTCATCACACGCCTTCTCTCTTCTTTCTTCACCTGTGGGTTGGACAGTAAGGCTGAGTCCATTTCAAAAAGATTCATAGTTTCTTTTATGGCTCAGGAAGGTCCAGAGCAAAGACTGGGAGGAAATACCTTCCTTTGTTCATTCATTCCACAAACCTCCCAGCACTCCCAGCACTGGGAAGGCGTCCACACACCCTCCCTTGTATCCGCCCGCAGGGCCTCGCCTGGTGCCATGACTCGGCCTTTCTCTGCTTCCCTCGCAGGGCCCTGGCCGCCAGCCTGAGTGCCTACCTCACGCCTCTCGGCCAGGAGATGGCCGAGCCCCCAGCCCCACCAGAACCTCCAGACCCAGAGACTCCGGACACTGCTGTGCTGGTGCCCTCAGAGGCCTTCCCGCCAACCGGCTCCTGAAGTGAAGACAAACCCCGCGGGAATGTTGCCGATTGGACTTTCAGACCAGGCGGTGTGGTCTTGCCCTCCAACCGCACGGAACCTGGGCCTTCAAAAGAAGAAAAGAAAAAGTCAGCAACAAACAGAGACTCAGCCGCCCTGGCATGGGCATCGGTGAAGCTGCTCCCGGCAGGCACTGCGGAGAAGAGCCAGGCTTTGGGGGAGGGCGCAGGGCCGCTGGGTTCTGTACCAGGTTCTGTCCTTGTCGATAAACCCAAGCCTGCTTCACAGAGGGGCCCGCAAAGCAACTGTGCAATTGATTGAGGAATTTTCCCTGCCTTGATTTTCCTAGTTCTTAGTTAGAATTCATGGTTTACTCAGAAATTTCATCATCAAGGAAATGGGCTCCCCCTGGGGTCTTTGCCCAGCCGTTCTCCCTCAGGGGCTGGTTTGCCACCTGGTGCCTGGGGCCCACTAACTGGAGAGAGGCTTTCCTGAGCGTCCTGGAGGCACTCTGTCGCGACAGTGACACTCCTGTCACGCACTCAGTGTTTCTAGAAATGCAGGGCCCTGTCCCTGGGGAGCTCCGTAGTCCAGGGAGCTCCCAAGGCCCCGCTCAGCGCAGCCTCGCTCTGGGCCCAGCCTCGCTGGTGCTGGGGGAGGGACTTGCACCCTGCGATGTCCATCCGCCTCCAAAGGCTGTGCCCACGCCGAGCTGGCCTGCCCGCTGCCCAGAGAGGGCCACGCAGGGGCCTCAGAAATGCTTCCCATCACACAGAGCTCTAGGGTAGCAGATGCCAAGCAAGGATTTGAGGGATGCACAATGAGCCTATTTTTAAAAGAAGAAAAAGAAAACAATGGAAAGCTCAACCTTCCGCCAGCATTTTCCCAGCCCCTGCTGGGGTCTGTGGGTGTGAGACAGAAATCAATCAGGGGGGACACCTTTGCCTCTCACCTGGGCCCTCGCCCGTCTCAGTCTGGAGTTTGGCCCACCACCCTGTGCAGTCCTTACCTGTAAGGTGGTTTCACAGCCCACAGGCCCAGACCAGAGTAAGCCCCTGGCTCAGGATGGGGTGGAGACCGAGTGGGGGTGGGCAGCTGCTGGCCAAGGCCCCAGGCAGGAGCTGGGTGGGCCAGCATGGGTGCTCTCCCTCTCTCCTCTGCCCGCTGCCCTGCACCCATGAGTGTTGCCCCGGCCTGCTTTGTCACTTTTCCCGTGAGCCCTCTGAGCATGCTCGCCCCATCAGAGCGTCAGAGCAGCGGTTCCCGGCCAGCAGTTCTTTCTGTCAGCCGGCGGGTTGGTGTCCTGGTACCTGATCTGGAGGAGAAACAGGCAGACCCAGGAGCAGGACTTCCTTTTGGGACAGTTGAGAAAGTCTCCCACGAGGAGAGCGGGCCTTCTCATTCCAGAGGGAACTTGCTCTTCTGCTTGCTGGAGGGTTGCAGGTGTGGCTGGGGGCCCAGGCCCGCTACACAGAGCACCCGAGCACCGTCTGAACGTGAGAGAATGAGGGATGTTCCGAGGCAGAAGACGGAGCCCTGGTCATTCGGAGCTGTTCTATAGACAGGCCTGTGCTCACTCCTCGGGCTGACTGGCAGTGTCAAGGGTGACTGGGAGTCACAGCGTTTTCTGTTGTCTCAGCAAATGTCAGGAGTTTTATCTTCCTCTCCCCCCACACAGACACCTTCTTAATGATGTGGACTTTCTGTTCGCATGGTTTGGCCCATCACTCACACTCCAGACTGGTGTTGAGTTGCTTTATTTCATATTTGCAAAGTCCCCTGTTCCTGCTGAAAAGGCCACTGCATGTTCCTGGGCTTGGAAACCCACGGAGGCTCTGAGGGGAAGTAGCTTCTAGAACAGTTCATCTTCAGGCCCTAGACACCCCCACAGAAGGCTTGGATTCAGTCCCAGTGTTGGGACTTGGAAGGCGTGTTGAGCTCCCCTGGACTTCCGCGCCATGGTTCCATTTCACCTCCAGGACCCAGTCCTCCTGGCCCTGCAGCGGGAAACTCCATTGTAAGTTGCCAATGGTTAGACCTTCTTGCCATCTCTAATGATTTCAGTGGCCCTGGGACTTCAGCTCACAACCAGCGGTTTCGCAGCTGGAGCTTTTCCTGAGCTGTGGTCTGAAGATGCTGAGTGGGGGAGCGGGGATCTGCAGCCAGGTTTGCTTGCAGTCATGTGGACGTGAATCATTTTGTTATTTGGGGTGGAAAATTGAAATGATCAAGTCTTTTTTTTCTTTTTCACTTAGAAAAGCAAATATTATGTTTTGTAATAGATGCCTTTCAGCAAAATTGGGAGGGTCACTCATCCGGTGGGGACCCACCTGAGTCAGATTAGTAGGGCAGCCAGCCATCCGTACACAACAGTGGCCCTAATGGCCCAAAATGGATAAGACTCGATGGCTTCCAGGCAAGACCAGGCCGGTTCCCTCAGTGCTCTGCATGCTGATGTCCTGTAGTCTCACTGAGTAGGTTTTTGTACATAAAAAAAAAAAAAATAGTAATGCCACAAAATGATTACGTCTTTTAAAACAGTAAAACCTTAAGCACACAGAAGTGAGGAAATTTAGCTTGAGTCAGGGACGGTCACAGTGTCTTCGTGGAATGAAGACTGCAGTTCCTAAGATCCAGCGGGGGGGGGGGGGGGGGGGCGGTGACGGCCATTGATTCCAAAATGATGAGGTTATAATAAAGCTCATGAAGAGGCGGGGGGGGGGCGGGGGGGCGGGGGGGGGGGGGTTCACCCTTCACTTTGCCAGGGGCTCACTGATCAGATCCTCCGCCTGACAAACAAGATCAGGTGGATCCACAGTCATACAAATCACATCTTCCCCGCCTTCCTCAGCTGCCACCCCCTGTGCTTCACTGACTGTGCTATTTGTATCCCCTGGAGTTTGAGGCGTCCTTTAAAACGACTGTGATGTCTTACATGTAACCATGCTACCTTTACGTCTACTGAAGCAGAATGTGCTCATCTGAAGGGAAATTCAGCGTAAACAACCACCGTCTTAGTTGCACTCAATCTCTATGTATGACATACACCCTAAGTGAATGTTTTCTTATATTTTCAGGCCTACAATATTGAGTACATGTAAATAAGGAAAAAATTTGATAAATATGGTAATTTAAGGTATAGTGTGTTGTTTGATTTCTATTTTGCTATCTCTTATTTAATTTTCCTGATGCTTCACATCTGGGCTTATGCCTGTGGGACGGTGGAGACCTTTATGTGTAACTCACCTTCACAGGCTAGTGTGTTGTGCCGGACACCACAGCAAAGACGTGCCCCGCCCGGAGAAGCACACAGCTCCACGGATGCCGCCACTGGACTCGAGTTGACCCTACTTTTCTTAATTATGATTTACTGTGATGATTTAATGAAGTAGAAACACAGCACTTATGTGCCATATGTTTTGTTTTGTTTTCATTATAGTTTGTAAGAAAATAAAGTTTATCCTGGTATCTAACAAAAGATGGTTTGCGTTTTTACCAGATGAAGTTGTTCAGAAGTTTTTTTAAAAAAAACCACAAGCCTAGCCCAGCCAGCGTGGCTCAGTGGTTGAGTGTCCACCTATGAACCAGGAGGTCACGGTTCGATTCTCGGTCAGGGCATATGCCCCAGTTGTAGTCTCAATCCCTAGTGCAGTGATGGCGAACCTATGACATCAGACAGTAGAGCCCTCTAATCAATCATTTTTTTGGTTGATTTTTCTTTGTTAAATGGCATTTAAATATATAAAATAAATATCAAAAATATAAGTCTTTGTTTTACTATGGTTGCAAATATCAAAAAATTTCTATATGTGACACGGCACCAGAGTTAAGTTAGGGTTTTTCAAAATGCTAACACGCCGAGCTCAAAAGGTTCGCCATCACGGCCCTAGTGTGAGGCATGCAGGAGGCAGCCAATCAATGATTCTCTTTCATCATTGATGTTTCTAATTCTCTCCCTCTCCTTTCCACTCTGAAATCAACAAACTGTATTTAAACAAAAAACCAAAGCCTAAATATTTATTCAAAATGGTAGCCAGTACCAATCCAATGAAGTTTACAAATGTGATCATGAAAAATTGACCTCTGAGTTCAGAACACGGTATGCTAGGACCACTCACATGAGTATTTGAGCCTAAGCATCATTGATCGCATGTTGATGGCCCTGCCTTAAAGCTACAACCATCACATTGTAACGGCCTGACCAGTCGGCCTCTGCCAGCGTCCTGGGCTGCTCCAGTGCAATGGGCAGCAGGGACCTTTCAGGACATCAGACAGTAGAGCCCTCTAAACATCACCCATTTGTCCACTTGTTGACTATAAGACATTTCAGTGACCTCAAAAAGGGTCCTGACACCTTCCTGGGAGCCTTGAATCAAGAGCTTGCTTGAAGGTATGCCGTGCTTTTAATACTTGGTTCCTCATAGAATGAAGATGGACAGTGTTAGAGTGTCATTGCCGAGAAGCAGTGGTTCCCAGCCCTGCCAGCAGCCGTGCCCCACCTCGATTCAGGCCCACCGGGTCTGGGTAGAACCCCAGCATTGGTATTTTTTAAAGCCTTCCCCCGCACCTCAGGATTCTGACCTGCAGATGGATTTTGGTGGAGGCATTCAGACCAGCCCCATTGTGCTGCTTCTGGTATCCCTTACCTCCTGGCCCACACATGCACCTGGAGTACCGGGAACCTCAGTGAAGACGCCCCGAGGAGCAGCTGGCCTCTCGACCACTGCCCAGTGTAATGTCCACCCCTTCTCACCATTCTACTTTATAGATGGTCCCAGTTCCCTCCAGGAAAATGTATGAGTTTTTTTCAGATCTGGAGTCATTTGAATTTCAAAGGATATTGTTATTGTCTTATTTATCCAAAAGATGGGGACAGAGATTGTAGTCATCACTTTCTTTCCTAAAGTGATCCCATTCATCTTCAAAAAACACTCATCAAATCTTAGGCCAAATCATGCACGACTTCAGCAGAATTCCAAAAAGAATTGAACTTCCAGTGGTTCCCAGAGGACCCTTGCTACAAATAATGTTCTCAGCCTTTCTTGGCATTTGCAAAGTGCCAGAGTTTAAAAATAATAATAATAATAATAATAACCTCAAGTTAGCCCCTGGCCATCATAGAATTCCCTGAGTATTCCAGAAAAAAATGCTGGCATATTTACATTTGCTGTACTAGTAAGGGTCTCTCAGCAGTAAAAGCTAGACCTCTGTGTTTGTTCTCTTCTGTACACATTTGAGCTCGTGTTACGCTCCTGCATGTGTGTATACACTACGTTGAGGCCACTTTGATTTATTAAACGGTTTATGTCAAGAGCAACTATTATCATTTGCCTTCCCTTCCATAAATGGAAATGCTTTTAATTGCATTTTATTTTTCAAATAAAAAAGCAGAGGTCACGGGAATGGAACTCACAGTGAACCTCATCCCTGCATAGCGGGTCCACCCGAGGCACCGATCCCTACACACTCAGCCACGTGGACACCGGAACTGAGGCTGTCAGCTCACTGGGTTCTCGCAGCTAGAAAGTAGAGCTCCAAGCGGGAGCTGAGTCCCCTGGACCCCTTTTCTGGACAACACCCCCATTTAGCAGCAGTCACTGTTCTTGACCAGAGCGCGGACAGCTTGTTTCCATGTCCCTTTTGGCCACTGGGAAGGTTTCCCTAAGGCCAGGTCTGAGCCCCCTGCGCCTCCCCTCATGGACAAGGCTCCAGCGTTGGGGAACTTGTTTTACCAGCTGACTCCCACCTATTCTCTCTGTGGGCAAAGGAGAGGACACACGAGTTGGCTTTTCTCTATGACTCTGGAAACCACTGCATCATACATCTTGGGGAATACATGTCGCTCATGTCTTCAGATCTGAAAAACAGACTTTGAGGTGAAGAGCCGGAGCAGAAGCAGGCCTGCTATGCTCCAAAAGGTTGCCCTCTGCCCTCTGCACACCCAGGCCCTCAAAGTAGTGTGGCACTGGCTGCATTTTGACCAAATATTTCTGTTCATTGTCTTCTGAGAAAACAGTTGTATGTTTCAGGAGTTAGAAAAAAGGCAAAGATAAAGCAAATGTCCTTACATGTCCCAAGCCTGACTGAGTGGAGTGGGAAGACTTGCTCCCCAAACCGAGGTCACAGATTTTTAGCGTTCTGCCTACTGCAGCTGAAACTACATCTTCGCCTCCAGAAAAACAAGGAAACAGCTGACAACTCAGGGGTTCAGGAGCATTTTCAGTAATAGTAATATTCTCTCTGCCCCACACACTCTCCAATGTGCCCTCCAAAAAAAAATTAAACACCAAAAAAACCAGCAGGAACTCTGAAATCATTCTTTCTGGGTAATCGAAAAGAATTTGCTGGCATTGGAGATTGCTTCTTGTTTATTGTTAAAATTTTAAATTAAAAATAATTTTAAGACCCAGGTCTCCGCTATCCTAAGTTAAATTGAATTAGATAAAGGAGATGAAAATGCATAACACACTGTCCTGTTAAATATTTGTCTGAAAGATCCTGCCTCTTACAGAACAAAGGAGAAATTAGGAAGTTCCTGTTAGCACCTGCCTTCGGTACCATATGCCAGGCATGAAAAATACTGACATTCACACCCTGATATTCCTGCCACAGCTATCAGAGGGCATTGTTTATGTGACTGAAAATTCTATTTAAAACAGTGTTTTAGAAAATAAAGACTAAATGAATAAATTCTTTCTGGGGCAAGAGCACCTTCCCTATGTATCCAGGTGTGATTTTTAATCTTCCACTTGTATGCCCCACCTCTCCCTCTAGCGAAATGCTTGTTGAGTTCGACAGAGAATGTTTTCTATAAAGAGGTCGCACTCCTCAGCTTCCACCTCGCCCGGAGGTGCTGGGGGTCTGAACAGCCGAGAGTGCCTCTCACAGAGTGTGAAGTGGGAAGGGGCTTGCTATTATAGCTCCTGAAAGGATCTTTCCGACTTCAGAAAATAGCCTGGCAAAGAAAAGCTTTTCTCCATGAATACCCGGGGCCTGCATTATGCTCCTCGGACGGTGCAGGTGAGTACTTTTGATCAATATTCCCTAAGAAATGGCCACCGGGCTAAGTGCAAGCGAAGGGCCTCAATAACAGATCTCCCTCCCCCAACCTGCAGCGCATTTGCAGCAAATCTCTCGCGATCGGTGTGAGCCAGTGAGGCTGCACATTAATGGCATCATCTCCCTTTAAAAAAGTGTCCCCCAATTTGTCCTCCAGGTGGATGGCTGATTAGGGCCCCCAGAAACAGTTATCTCTATAGCCTTCCTTCATGGAAGTCGTGTCATCTTCCTTTCAGGCACCAGGGAAAGCAAACCCCTGAAACTGTTTTAACCTGAAGAAGGGACAATGCCAGTCAGAAAACTCAAAACAGTACCTTATTGTAATAAAAAAAGGTTTGTTTACTAATTACCATTAAGATTTCTAATGAAATAGCCAAAGGATAGATGTGTGCTTTAAACCAGGTATTCTATATTTTTTTCTAAAACTAATGATCTGCTCCCATTCCAAATCACCACCACCCCAGAATGATAAGCTGGTT